GCTAAGAACGAAATAAAAAATTTCTCTCTTCTTCTTCACCCTCTTCTTCTCTAAATTCCCTAGAATCTAGGGTTTAATCTTCCATGCAACTTCAATTCTATCATGGTATCAGAGCAGATCATTGAAATCGAGTTGAAATTCTGCAAGATCTAAACACTGAACACTGATTAGAAGCTTCGATTTCATCAACCATGGCGGAAACGGGAAATCTCCCAATCGATCACAATCATCCTCTGTTTTTAGCATCTAAAGATACACCTGGCGTAGCTTTGCACGATATCAAGCTCACCGGACCGGAAAATTATGGTTTTTGGAGTAGATCGATGCGGATGGCACTTTTGGTGAAGAACAAGCTAGGTTTCATAGAAGGAACTTGATTGAAAAGCTCTTACAAAGGAGAATTGGCGAATCAGTGGGAAAGATGTAATGCCGTTGTTCTTTCATGGATAGGACGTACAGTATCAGTAGAATTGCAGCCGAGCATCATTTATGCTTCAAATGCAAGGACAGTATGGAAGGAATTCAAGGAGAGGTTTGATAAATCTAATCTCACTCGTTTTTACCTTCTATGGATACAAATTGGATCGTTAAAACAAGGTACTGATTCTGTAACAACATATTATACAAAAATGAAAGACCTCTGGGATGAAGTTGACCTATTAGTTCCAAGACCTGGTTGTGATTGTGAAGAAACTAGACCTTTCATTGACCAATTTAAGAATCTACGTTTATTACAGTTCCTAGTTGGGCTTAATGAAAGCTATAGTCAAGTGAGAAGTCAGATATTGCTTAAGACACCAGTATTGACTGTAAATCAAGCCTATGCTTTGGTCATTCAAGAAGAAAGTCAGCGTGAGCTAAGTGTACTTGAGATAAGTAGGGAACCTTTAACTATGATGGCAGGACAGAATCAAGGATATAAGGGTAAGAAGAGTGGGATTGTTTGTGAGCACTGTGGGTATAAGGGACACCTCAAGGAAAACTATTACAAGATTATAGGATATCCTCCTGATTTCAAAAGCAAGAAGAAACAACAGGGACAAGGAAGCAGAACTTATACTAACATGGAGACAGAAGAAACTACAAGCTCATCTCAAGGCCAACAGATGGGACAACTGTTCACTAAAGATCAATACAAGCAGATATTGGAACTTCTAAACAAAACACCTGCAGGTGATTGTCATACACTAATGGCAGGTATAACCACCTTGTTGTCAGATGCATCTTTATGTGAATGGGTAGTAGACACAGGAGCATCTCACTATATCACATGTGATAAAGGAATTCTATCTAACATAGAGAACATTGAGCAACACAGGAATCATAAAGTACAGGTTCCAACATGTAGCATATGTTCAGTAACACACAAAGGAAAAACTTCAATCTTAAAGAGATATGAAATAAAAGATGTGTTGTATGTTCCAGATTTTAAGTTGAATCTACTGTCAGTTTCCAAACTGACCAAGGAGCTGCTATGCTGTGCTCTATTCTTCCCTGATTTTTGTGTATTGCAGGGCCTTTACGATGGCAAGGTGATGGGGATTGATAGAGAGAACAGTGGACTTTATATTCTAAAATGGAGAGACAAGCCAGTAGCAACATTGGTCACAAAAGACACTGATGAGTGCAGTCTTTGGCATATGAGACTGGGACATCCATCAATAATGTCAATGAAGCATATTCCTGCCTTGAAGAATAAAGTAGTGGATAGTTTACAGCATAATTGTGAAGTATGTCCGTTAGCTAAACAAAGTAGATTGAAGTTTCCTCTCAGTAGCAGTAAGACTGAGTGTATTTTTCAACTTATTCACCTTGATGTATGGGGTCCTCACAAGATGCCTACACATGATAGGAAACACTATTTTCTTACAATTGTGAATGATTTTAGTAGATACACTTGGGTATGCTTTCTGCAGTCTAAATGTGAAGTTGTAACAGTGTTGAGGGATTTTCTTATAATGATAAAGACTCAGTTTGACATGAATGTGAAAGTCCTAAGATCTGATAATGGGAGAGAGTTTTTAAATTCCAGCTGTAATGAATTATTAGCATCCTTAGGCATTGTGCATCAAAGCAGTTGTCCATATACACCCCAACAGAATGGGGTGGTGGAAAGAAAGCACAGACATATACTTGAAGTGGCTAGGGCATTGCAGTTTCAGAGTTCTGTTCCTAGTAGATTTTGGGGAGATAGCGTAAAGACAGTTGTTTACCTGATCAACAGATGGCCTATATCCATACTACAAGGAAAATCTCCTTATGAAGTTTTTTACAATAAATCACCTGCTATTGGTCACTTAAAGGTGTTTGGATGCTTGTGTTTTTCTAGCAATCTGCCAAAAGGTGATAAGTTTTGCAAGGAGAGCAAAAAAGTCAGTTCTAATAGGTTACTCAGAAGTTCAAAAGGGCTATAGATTGTTTGATTTAGAAACTAAAGCTATTTTTGTAAGCAGGGATGTTAGCTTTAGAGAACATATTTTCCCTTTTAAAGAAAGTATAACCACTCCACAAGATCCATTTCCCACACAAGCTTCCATACCACCACATCCTGATCCCTCATTACCTATATCCTCAGACTCTCACATTCCACCTACATACAATACACCAACCACAGAGAATACAAATACACCTACTACAGAAATCCTACACCTTGACCACACAGATCAAAACACAGAAACAGCAGAGGTAGAGCATGGTGAGCAAGATACCTGCACTGACTTGGTTCCAAACACTGAGTCAGAGGCACATACTACTCCTAACAATAGCATACATGTGGTTAGAAGTGATCAAGAGTCTAGGAAGACTACCAAGACATCTAAACCCCCAGTTTGTTGAAAGACTACCAAACTACTCAGAAATTCTCTGGCCAATGCCTATATCCATTGACTAACACCCTTACTTATGCTAATCTCACAGCAGGTTATCAAGCATACCTGCATGCTTTTTCAGCTGAAGTTGAACCTACTAGCTTTCAGAAGGCTTCCACTGATAGCAGATGGATTACAGCTATGGAACAGGAGATTCAGGATCTTGAAGATAATCAAACTTGGGAAATAGTGGACTTACCAGTAGGGAATCAAGCTATTGGTTCCAAGTGGGTATACAAGATCAAATACAAGGCCAATGGAGAGGTAGAAAGATACAAGGCAAGATTGGTTGCTAAGGGCTATAATCAAAAGGAAGGGTTGGACTATCATGACACATTCTCACCTGTAGCAAAGATGGTCACAATTAGGACCATTATCAGCATAGCAGCTGCCAAGGGTTGGCCTCTATTTCAGATGGATGTCAGTAATGCTTTCTTACAAGGGGATCTCTATGAAGAGGTTTATATGCAGCTACCTCAAGGATTTCATAAACAGGGGGAGTTGAAAGTGTGCAAGCTTATGAAATCCCTCTATGGTCTTAAACAAGCATCTAGGCAATGGAACATAAAGCTCACCGATGCATTTGTTCAGAATGGTTACAAACAAAGTCTTTTTGATCATTCCCTATTCACAAAGCAGCAAGGAGGAGAGATAGTCATCATACTGGTATATGTAGATGATTTGATGATTACTGGGAGCTCCTCTAACTTAGTCAATGATGCCGAGAAGGTCTTACACAGTAAGTTCAAGGTTAAGGACTTAGGCAAGCTGAGGTACTTTCTGGGAATTGAGGTATCAAGGTCAAAGAAAGGAATGTTGCTCAATCAAAGAAAGTATGCCTTGCAACTAATTTCAGAGGTAGGCTAAAGTGGTGCAAAACCAGTTGCAACTCCTATAGAGTGAATCAAAAATTGACAACTGTGGAGTATGATACATGTGTTGGGAAGACAGGAGATTTAGAGCTGAAAGATAATTCAGCTTATCAAAGATTAATAGGAAGGTTGCTATACTTAACAATCACCAGACCTGATATAAGTTTTGCAGTGCAAACTTTGAGCCAGTTCATGCAAAGGCCCAAAGAGTCACATATGGAGGCAGCATTGAGGATAGTAAGATATATCAAAGGGACACCAGGCATGGGAATACTGATGGAGGCAGGACCTATTGATCAATTAGTTGCTTATTGTGATTCAGACTGGGCATCATGCCTTAATACTAGAAAATCTGTGACAGGATATGTTGTTAAATTGGGAAATTCTTTGATATCCTCGAAATCAAAGAAGCAACCTACAATAAGCAAGAGTTCAGCAGAAGCTGAATACAGAAGTATGGCTGCTGCAACTGCTGAGATTACATGGTTAACAGGATTGCTGGAAGACTTAGGAGTTAAAGTATCCAGACCTATTACATTGTTCTATGACAATAAAGCTGCAATACAAATAGCTGAAAATCCAATATTTCATGAACGGACAAAGCACACAGAAATAGATTGCCACTTTGTTAGAGAGAAAATCAAGACAGGACTTATTACTCCATGTCATGTTCCTTCCTCCTTACAACTAGCAGATCTTCTAACAAAAGGACTGACTGCAGCACAGCATTCCTTCCTAGTCTCCAAGCTTGGTGTGTTAGACATCTTCCACCCTCCAGCTTGAGGGGGAGTATTTAGAATTGTAGAAGTTAAATGAGGGTATATTAGTCATTACACACACGCACATGAAAGGCATGTGTAGGGCAGTTATTATGGTTAAATACTATACTCTCTTGTAATAGAGTTTAGCTAAGAACGAAATAAAAAATTTCTCTCTTCTTCTTCACCCTCTTCTTCTCTGAATTCCCTAGAATCTCGGGTTTAATCTTCCATGCAACTTCAATTCTATCACTTATTCACGTAAATTTGCACTCCCATCTCAAAGTTTAGGACAAACAAAAAGAGAAAACTCTTCTCTTCGTTTTTTTCTTCCTAATTTCTTTTGTTCTGATAGTCAAAGGATGTACTATTTAAAGCATGATTAGTATCCAATGCCGTTTAAAGCTGACAGCTTTAATTTGAACATAGTTTTGAATTATGACCAGATACTTGAAGTTTTGCTTTACAGGACAAAATAATACATTCAGCAAAACAAACAAAAAGCTACACAATTGCTCTGACTAATATTATATTAATTGTTGAGAGGTTGAAATTGAACACAGTAAGTATGTATTTTCTATGCAATAGAGACAAGAGAAACAGTTCAAATCTAACAATGTCATCCCACTAAAATTATACAACAATAAATAAAATTAAAATTAAATCCAAACATCTTCTTTAGCTCATACTATTTTGTAGCCGTTACCCCCTTTAGACATTTCAACAGTTGTTCCATTCCTAGTTCCAGGATAGTCCACTTCAGTCATGAACTTAGACCAGAACCAATGCTCTTTCCACACAATCACCATCTCTTCAATTGGGATATTCTTTGTCTCAGGCAAGAAGAAGTAAATGAAGACAGTCATAATCACAACAAAGAATGCAAAGAAGAGGAACAATCCAAACTTCAAATGACACAACATTGTCAAGAATACTTGTGCCACTATAAATGTGAAGATCATGTTCACTGAAACATTGATACTTTGAGCAGCTGATCGAATTTCGAGTGGAAAAATTTCACTAGGAACCAACCATCCTAGAGGTCCCCATGACCATGCAAATCCAGCTACATAAACACAGATGAATATCACCACGACTATCGCGTACCACTTTGGTAAATCCCCTGGAGTTCCATTCACTCCAAACTTTATAGCTATGCAAATCGACACTGCTATCTGCAGATGTATCAAGAACCAAGTTCAAGTTAGAAATGTGAACTTAATTTTCATACAGAAATATATAAAGAGAAGAATCCACTGACTCTAAATTCTAAATTTGCTACTGAAGACGAACATTATATGCAAGAAAATGGAAAGTAATTTAACTTACTTGGCAAATGAGCATTTGAATACCACCTTCAAGGAACAAGAATCTTCGTCCCAATTTATCAACATAGTAAATAGAAACAACAGTTGCAAGTACATTGACTCCACCAGTAATAACAGCAGACATAAGAGAAGCATCAGCACCAAAACCAATAGTCTTAAACAACACTGGTGCATAGAACATAATCACATTAATTCCAGTAAGTTGCTGGAAAAATGGGATCATAATTGCCATTGTGAGATGTGGCCTATATTTTCTTTGCAACAAATTTCTCCAGGGGTTCTCTATTTTCCTAGAAGCCTCACTCGCCACGACTAAATCATTAAACTCTTCGTCTACATCATCAATGCCTCTGATTCTCTTGAGCCTAGCTTTGGCTTCGTCGTGATTGCCACGTTCGATCATGGAGTTTGGTGTCTCGGGAAGGAAAAGTGAACCTATTGTAATGATCAATGCAGGTACCATAGCACCTCCTAAGCTCAATCTCCATCCCCAATGAATCTTGGAAAAGAAATAGTTCAATATATTTGCTACAAGAATTCCAATTGTAATGGACAGTTGAAAACCTATGTTGAGTGCTCCTCTGTACTTGTATGGAGCCATTTCAGATAGGTATAGTGGAACAGCCTGCAATTAATTAAACCAAAAAAAAAAAAAAAAAGTGTTAATCATCCCCCAAAAAAAAGGGAAAAAAAAACAAAAATGTTTCTAAGGAAAACAAAAGAGCAACAAGAGAAGGAAAATATTGTGTTTCTTTCAAGGGGGCCAGGCCACTTGTTCTTGTCACGATGGATAAGGACAGTCTTAATTAGACTAAGAAAATGGGAACATCATTTCATGATTAATACTATTAAATTTTATGACTTGCTACTTTCTAGTCAATTATAAACCAATTTATTTATAGTACTAAAGTAGTCATATTCATGAGCAAATAGTGTGGAAAAATATTCAGGCGCACGTCACTTTAATGGAGAAAACGAAATACAAACATATCCAAACGGCGAATTAAAGAAGGAGATTTGTTAATCTCAACAACTAGCATTGGATTAAAATATTGTTTATGTGATATCACAACTTGCTGAAGAATATCAAAGCAGATTCATTATTCAAATTAAGCTAGTATATTTTAGACTGAACCAAGGATTTTCAAGGATCTGGTGGTGAAATGTGCAACTGTATACGGTGCATAGTGGGATTTAATTAGCAAAAAAAGTCTTTTTCAAGTCAGGTTAACATCCAATCGACTGCTGATTTCATTTTCTTTTAACCAAAAAATTAAAATAAAAGGGACAATAGAAAAAGATAAAAGCAAATGGAATTAGAAATGTGGGGAAAAGAAGATTTAATTTCTATACATAGCTGTTTAATTTTTTTACCTTTGCGGTTCTTTTTTAACAGTATTTAAAAGTAACATTCATGAGTAGATTTAATAACTTGAAAAATAAGACAAATAACTTTTCGATCAAATTGCATATAAACATTAATTTACAGGATACTCCTATAGGATAAGATAATTTTTTTAACAAAAAAGTGATGACATATGGTTTCAGGACTTTATGGCAAAACATCATGTGTTGCACATACTTGTCTGATCTACGTATTAAGTACGTACTTACTGTTGAAAAATATTCAGATCCGAACTGCGGGAAAAGTGTTACCACCAACTTGCCATTACTATTCCCTCCGGTCCACAATAAGTGACCAGTTTGCTTTTTTGTTTTGATCTAAAATAAGTGTCCATTTATATTATCAAGAAAATATTTAATTTGTTTTTCCAAAATTACCTTGTGTATGTATTCCTAAAAAGTTTTTTACTCCTCACATTAAATTATGCTGCAATATTTAATTAAGGATGGTTTAGTCACACTAACTATTTTTATCTAGAATTTAGTATTTTCGTAATGGCATGGCAAAAGCAAATTGATCACTTATTGTGGACCGGAGGGAATATTTTTTACGGTTTTGAAACTAAGAAATAAATGCATAAACTAAGAAACGTAATTCCATGGCAAAAACCAAAGAAACAGGGGAACCATAGAACAGGACAATCTTGAAATAAATGAACAAAAAGGAAAAAAAAAAAAGAGACAGACACACAGATGATGTTGTTTGTAGAGAAAACCACCATTGTTCGACTGCATAAACATAGTCACATGGTAGTACTGTTTAGAGAATAAACACCAGTTTTGGACTATATTAACAACTTGGCACGACCAACAAACAAATAATTAGGAATATGACCACATGCCAATCTCTTGACTTGATCCACCACAAAAAACAAAACCAAAATGTGCGAATACCTTTTACGGGGTTGTCGGCGTGTACAGAAGTTAAACTCAAAATAAGGACAAACTAGGAATAAATATTGTCGTATAATGGAAATTACAACATACCTGATTGGCAAATCCAATACCAAAACCTAGTAAAATACGACCAACAATGAGCATAGCAACATTCTGAGCAAAGCCATTGATCAAAGCTCCAGCACAGAAGAGGACACCTCCAGAGAGCATAGAAAGTCTCCTTCCAAGTTTTCTGGTGACAGTTGATGCCACCAGAGACGACAAAAGGGCAGCCAAGTACAATTACCCCGCGACTAATAGAGCCATCTGTGGTCCCCCCATTTAATGCGTTGTCAAGATTTTATTGCGCCACATGGCTATACGGCCCCAAGTCACTTACAACGCCCCAAAAATCCACCCGCCCCACTTTTCGGTACAACCTATGGTAAAACAAATATATTTCACCTACCCAATTTATTTAACCCACTGCCTTCATCAAACCCCGTCTTCTTCACCTACTCAGTAATGGTGTGTTAGGGTTTAATTAGGATTGCTATCTGCTTCAATTTGGTGGACTAAAACTGAAGAATCTTTCATTTCTAGCCTTATCTGACTGACTACTCATTGATAAAAGTAAGTATTTACTGATTTGGGTTATCTTTTAGGGTTTGGGAATATTTGGGGTTCGGTAAATGTTGTCTCTTTCTTTTTGTTTAATGGGTCATATGATATTATTATAGTATCCTTTATGCTATTTGTTTTTTATTTTTGTTTGGGGTGGTTCCCAATCGTCTTTGTCCGACATGAAAAGTTAGGTATTTTTTTATTTTTGTATATGTTGTTGGGTGGGTGTTGTCGACATAACTTTTGTGGGTCCTTCTTTTTTGTTAATTTTTTTGTTGTCTATGTGGTATATCTCAGAAGAATGGTCGACAAAGTAGNNNNTCTGAGGGGTAGGTACAGAGACGTCTGTACTTGTTCCCCAGAGTCTATTGAGTTAGGAAAAATCTCTCATTTGTTCTTTCTTGTCGTGCGATTTGGTTTCTTAAATGCTGATTGAATTTCCACTCTGTTCTTTCGCTAGATGGCGAGAGCACGCGCTTCCTCATCCTCCTGATCCATACATAAAACAAACATCGTCATTATAAACCTAGAATGAAACAAATTATAAAACGTAATAGTGATTCATTTACATCTGTCGTTTTTTTTTTTTTTTCCGTAGATGTGTTTTTACGTACCAGAAATTCCAATATCGTAACCGAAAATGAGACCACCCATGGCAGCGACAATGCAAGTAACAGTAACATAAAGAGTTAAATTGCCGGGATATTCTTTCCCGTTGCCGGGACCAATACCACCACCACCAGCCATCTTTCTTGAGCTGATCACAAAACAAGAACAGCTTGTGGCAGAAGAAATTATCAAGAAAAAAGAAAAAAGTTGAGAGAGAACTGTAACGTAAACTGGAGAAATATAAGATAAAAGCTAAGTGGAAAATGAAAGAGAGATTTGAGAGTACTTCAGAAATGAAGAGGAGGAATATAGAGGAGTAGATGAGAGAAGGGAAGAGTATATATAGAAAGAGAGGGAGACTATTACAATGTCGTAAACCCGGGACTATATGCTGGACTCTTCTTAGCTGTCACAATTTTTTTTTCTTAACGATTTTTTATTTAGCTGTCAAAATTATGCATAGAATCTTATCTCACGCTATTAAATCTTTAATTAATTGAGGTGACAAAAAGAATAATGATAAACTCTTAACATATAGTTGACTTACTGTATTTTATAGAGAATTATAATGAAAATATATGGCATGATATACTGGAATTGATAAAGATATTTATGCAAGAGGTGAACTGTAGATAATTTCTCAAAAATTTCTATATTCCAAACGAAATAATCTAGGTCTCCCAACAAATTTTGGATTAAAAAAGTTTATTGTTGATGTTGTGGAATGTGAACTTGGAAGTTTTTTATTGGGCATCTTATTGATTCTAATTCAATCAAATTCAAAATTATAGCCTTAGTTCTATTAGAATGTGTAACACTATTGTAGCCTTGTAGGGAATGAATTATTGTTTATAGATATAACATTACACAATTATTATCTCATAGGCCACTTTTTGAGGTTAAGTTAGGCTTAAGGTCTTTTCTCTTAATATGGTATTGACGCCAGACTCATTCCTGTTCTCAGTTTTATTTTCTCTACATGTCTAGCTAACTTTGATCATCAGAAGGTGTTATAATGTCTTACATTGGCCGAAGAAACAAATAATTTATCTTCTAATATGATAGTCTTGGATAATCTTCAATAAGCTTATGAAGTTAATATATGTTTAAAATTTATTTTCTTAACAAACTTAACACAAGATGCTTCGAAACAAGTTAAGTTAGGCCAAAGGTCATGTATGATGTAACCATACAAATAAATAGTTGCCTTGCATTTAGACTGGATAATAATAAAAGATGCAAGGCTTGTATATTTATTAATTCAAGTTGACGTGGAAAATGGTGTGTAAGGAAAATTGATTATTTGGATTCCTGGTAGACGGCAGTCAAATGAGGGAGTTACCACTCTTTGTAATACACATCAGCCATTTGTCATCTAATTTATCTTTATCTTTTCTTGGCCATTTGGTGGCAAATATTTCCACCTAGCTTTGCTGGGTTTGGTTGACTTTCTTTTTCAACAGCGTTTACTTCGACCAAAAGGGATGACAATTCATATACTTAGAACATTTTGAGAATAAATATAGACAAAAAATTAATATACAGCTTTTAGAAACCGAAAAATTTGTTAGGACAGAAAAAAGTCAGGTGTCATGCCGAAGCTAGTAAAGCAAATCTTCAACGACGATAAATCAGATAACAAAAGAGAAATATACCAAAAGAGATACAAACATATAACGTGGTTCGGTCAACTGATCTATGTCCACGACGGAGATGAGCAATCCACTATATAAAAGGAGAGTACAAAATATCGAGAGAACAACCTCACGAAGAGGCAAACACAAGTGACACACTAACACTTGTCCCGTAAAGTTCTCCCCCTTATAAACACGACCCTCAAACCCCATGTGGCTACATTTGGATGCTACTGAATGAGAAGGAAGGATCATCAATTTATAGAAGTCCAAATCTTTTCCTACTAGAAAAAGGACTGGCCAAAGAAAAACCCAATTATGGTAAATATCTTGTCCTTTCCTTCATGAGATTGGAAAACCAATTATGGTAAGAAAATCTGGAAAAACACCTAACAATTCTCCCCCTTGGCATGAATTTTCTGACAAAATAAACTTGATCCACCTTTTTCACGTAGCCTTCAACAGGTTGCATCTCCAAATCTCCACCACAAAGTTTGTCTCAACGTGCGTAGCACTCCGGTCAAATTTCTCACACAAAAATCATGATTATCGTCAAATAGGTTGCGGCTAGAACTGAACCTGTCAAGATGAACAAGTCTCGAACCTCGCTCTGATACCACTTGTTAAGACTGGAAAAGTCAGGTGTCATGCGGAAGCTAGCAAAGCAAACCTTCAATGACGATAAATCAGATAACAAAAGAGAAATATACCAAAAGAGATACAAACATATAACGTGGTTCGGTCAACTGACCTATGTCCACGATAGAGATGAGCAATCCACTATATGAAAGGAGAGTACAAAATATCGAAAGAACAACCTCACGAAGAGGCAAACACAAGTGACATACTAACACTTGTCCCGTAAAGTTCTCCCCCTAAACACGACTCTCAAACCTCATGTGGCTACATTGTGGATGCTACTAAATGAGAAGGAAGGATCCTAAATTTATAGAAGTCCAAACCTTTTCCTACCAGAAAAGGGACTAGCCAAATATGGATGAATTATATTTTTCTTCTAGGAAAAGAAAAACTCAATTATGGTAAATATGTTTTCCTTTCCTTCATGAGATAGGAAAACCAATTATGGTAAGAAAATCTGGACAAACACCTAACAAAATTGTCAATCTTTTAGAGAGTAACGGTTCATGTTATATTGAAAAAATAATTAGGATGGTATATAGAAATAAAATACTTGAAAAAATTTGCTCCTCATCTATTACTTTTTTCTCTTCTAGGACGGAAAGAAGTGAAAAATAGGTATTAAAGTGTTTGACTAACTATAAATCTTGAGCAAGACATGTTTTTATTTATTAAAGAATATCTAAGAGAAGTCTACCTTATCCATTTACGAATATTAGTTCGGAGTAACATCAGTGTGTAAGGAGAGCCATTAACTACTTTGTTAAGCAATCCTTAAATTAAGGATAATAATTAAACAAAGTTAACCACTTTCTCATATATTATGTCATGGGCGGTTATTTGATGAGCTACTCATCACTTCTATTTTATTAGAGTGATTGCCGTTGAATTCTAATTCTATTTACGTGAAGCAAGTATTTAACCTATGCCAGGTTGAATTTGGTTATTAGCATTTAATATATATAAAGAAAAGAATAGTGAAAAGAAAAAAAGAAGAAAAAAAAACAATTATAAAGAATTCCACATAGGCATCATAGAATGGATAATATGGATTTTTAGTTATCAAACTTTCCTTGGAATTCCATTGTTTACCTTTTTCTTTGTTTGGATAATCACGCTTCTATGGAGCTAATTATTACTCGCTCCGGTCCAAAATAAGTGATTTTTTGGATGTTTTCACACAGATTAAGAAATCCACCTTTTAACATTAATCAGCAATGGAATTGACCATATTAACCTTTACTATCTCACATAAACACTCCTAACACATATTCCAACACTATTTACTCCAAGGACACTGTAGAAAAAAAATAATTAATTCATTTTTGAAATCTGAAAAAATCCCTTATTTTGGACCACAAGAAAAAGGCCAAAAAATCACTTATTTTGAACCGGAGTGAGTAATTAAGTATCTTTCCCACTGCGATAGAAAGTAGCGGAAACGTGACTTCATTACATCTACCACTCATTTATTTTCACATCATCTTTATCTTCCTTAGATTAGATAAGAGCCCAAATAGGAAACAATGGAACGTGACCTTACTTTCAAATTAAATGTGTTTTTTTTTTTTATTTTCCTAGTTCTAGTTTCCGTTATATTTCACGCGTTAGTACGCCTTGCACATTAGCCTAGTCTATTTCTTTTCTATTCAAATTTATTACAAGTATATTATTATAGTTAAGGTCCCATGAAAAGCTCATAAACGCAACCGACCACATCTTTTCTATTTTCTCTCTTTTTCTTCCACCATTTTCTTTTATTATTTCACTTTACTATGCACAAAGAAAATAGAACCAA